CAATTATGTTGAATCCTTTAGGTCTTGGAACCAGATCCCAGACGTCATTTCTTGTGAACTGATTAAGCTCTTCTTGCATGGCAATTACTCAGTTATTGTCTTGCAGAGCCTCATCCACAGAAGTTGGTTCAATAACTGACACCAACCCAAATAATGACGCTTCAGATGATCTGAGAAATGATCTTGTTCTGATTGGATCATTTTTCTTCCCAATGATCACATCCTCTGGGTGAGAGGCCTTGATTCTGGAAGATGATCCTTTGGCAATTGAATTTTCAGAAATGTTCAAGTTGTCCATTTGAGAAGCTAAAGGAATTGCATCTGGCGTTGCTTCTGGTTCCTTTATTTTAGCTTTTTCTGCCTCTGAGCCTTCAGAGTTTGTGAAGACTACTTCTCTATCTGCAGAACTTTCAAACTGCTTTGGCTTTTCAATGCCAAGCTTATCATCAAATCTAACATGTATAGATTCCTCCACAATCTGTGTTTCAGTATTGTATACTCTGTAGCCTTTAGAGCGTTCAGAATATCCAAGCATGAAACACTTCTGTGCTTTAGAATCAAACTTGCTAAGATTCTCTTTAGTGTTCAACATATAACAAATACATCCAAAAGGATGAAAATAAGCAATGTTGGGCTTTCTGTTCCTCCACAATTCATAGGGAGTCTTTTCCAGAAGAGGTCTTATAGACATTCTGTTCTGAATGTAACATGTTGTGTTTATTGCTTCTGCCCAAAAGTGCTTTGCCAGATTAGTCTCATTGATCATGGTTCTGGCCATTTCTTGCAGAGTTCTATTTTTCCTCTCTACAACTCCATTTTGTTGTGGAGTTCTAGGGTAGGAGAAATCATGAGCAATGTCATTTTCATTAAAATATTTTTCAAAATATTTGTTTTCAAATTCGCCACCATGATCACTTCTGACTTTGATTATTTTAAAACCTTTTTCATTTTGGACTTGTTTGCAGAAGTCAAAGAACACAGAATGTGACTCATCCTTGTGTTTTAAGAACTTTACCCATGTCTATCTACTATAGTCATCAACAATGACTAATCCATACTTCTTGCCTCTGATGGATGCAGTTTTCACTGGTCCAAACAGATCAATATGAAGTAATTCTAATGGTCTGGAAGTAGAAACAACATTTTTTTATTTAAAAGAGGATTTTGAAAACTTCCCTTTTTGACATGCTTCACAAAGAGCATCTGAGGTGAACTTCAACTTAGGAAGTCCTCTGACAAGATTAAGTTTATTAATCTGAGATATACGTCTCATATTAATATGCCATAATCTTCTGTGTCAGACCCATTGCTCCTCATTAACAGACAAGAGGCATTTAACATTCTGAACCTTAAGTTCTGAAAGATTTATTTTATAAATGTTGTTCTTCCTCTTTCCACTAAATAGGATTGAGCCATCCTTTTGACTAATAGCTTTACAATATTTTTGATTAAAGATTATATCATAACCATTGTCACTTAATTGACTTATGGACAATAAATTATGCTTTAATCCTTCTACAAGTAAAACATTAGTAATAGAGGGAAGGTTACCATTTCCAATAGTGCCAGATCCAATGATCTTGCCCTTCTGATTCCCTCCAAATTTCACGTCACCTCCAGATCTAAGCTCCAGACTTTGGAACATAGACCTTTCTCCCGTCATATGTCGCGAGCATCCAGAGTCCAGGTACCATGACTGACGTCTTGACCTTGCTGCTAAGAACATATGCAACAAGAATTATTTTACTCTTAGGTACCCAGATCTTCTTGGGTCCTTTTGGGTTAGTTGTTTTGAAGGTTCGTCTAAACTTCTGTTTTTCAACATAAGGTTTATTCTGACTAGCCTTAAATTTAAACACATGAATGTTCTTTTCAGAGCAAGTGTGTTTAATATCATTCAAGTGACCAAATTTAAAATGAGAATATAAAGGAGTCTTCTTGATGATAATTTTATCAACAGGTTTTGGATTTAAATCCTTTCCAGAGGAAGATTTATATCTAATTCCTTTTCTGTTATTTCTGCTAACTCCATAGATCATAGAAGCCATTTTGCTTCTGTCTATGCTTTTAGCAAGAAACTTCTGAAAGCTGTAGTCATATTTTTCCAAAATATTTTTGCATTCAGACTCAGTTTTAGAATCAGAGTCTTGTTGAGCTAATTCAAAATCATTTTTCATTTTTAAGTTCTTTTCATTTAGCTCAGCCACTTCTGATTTGAGAATATTATTCTCAGATACAAGATTGCTTTGACGCTCCTTGTATTTGAGCTTAATATTGTTATAGCTCTTCAGAACTTCTGATAACACTTTGATAAGTTCGTCTTTAGTGAGTTTAGTCATTACCTCTTCAGCGTCAGAGTCAGATTCAGAGTCAGATTCAGATCCTGAAATTCCTTCCTCCTGATCTTCTATGTCTGCCATCAATGCTACGTTGGCACATTCTTCTTCTGCCTCAGATTCAGATTCAGATGTATCTGAATCATCCCAGGTTGTCATTAGAACCTTCTTCTTCTTATCAAATTTTCTTTTAGGCTTATCTTTCAGAAGCTTTGGACATTCATTTTTGTAATGCCCATGTTCTTTACATTCGTAGCAGACAACCTCCTTTTTGCCAGATCTTCTGTGTCCAGAAGATTCCTTTCTTTGGTCAGGCTTCCTAAAGTTTCTAAACTTCTTTCCTTTATGCTTCCAGAGTTTGTTTATTCTTCTGGACAACATGGATAATTCATCTTCATCTTTAGATGAGGATTCTTCAGAGCTTTCCTCTATTACCTGCAACGCTTTAGCAGATTTATTAGATTTTAAGGCAATTGACTTACCTTTCTTTTGAGGCTCATCTTTCTCAAGTTCAATTTCGTGGCTCCTCAGTGAGCTGATTAGTTCCTCCAAGGAGATCTGGTTCAGATCTTTAGCCATTTTCAGCGCAGTCACCATAGGTCTCCATCTAGTAGGTAAGCTTCTGATGATTTTCTTCACGTGATCAGCAGTAGAGTAACCTTTATCCAGAACCTTTAGTCCAGTTGTAAGTATTTGAAATCTGGAGAACATGGCTTCAACAGATTCAGCTTCTTCCATCTTGAAAGCTTCATACTTCTGAATTAGAGTCAGAGCCTTTGTTTCCTTGACTTGAGAGTTTCCCTCATGAGTCATCTTTAGAGATTCAAAAATATCACATGCAGTTTCTCTATTTGTGATCTTCTCATACTCAGTATGAGATATTGCATTTAACAAGATAGTTATAGCCTTGTGATGATTTCTGAATTCCTTCTTTTGAACTTCAGTCATAGATTTTCTTTCTATTTTCTTGTCATTCTCATCAATGGGATGAACATACCCATCTATGACCAAATCCCATAAATCAACATCATAACCCAGGAAGAAACTTTCTATTCTGTCCTTCCAATAATCAAATTTCTCCCCATCAAACATAAGGGGGTTTAGTGATGATTCTATCTCTTTCTTCATATTTATTGTCAACCATAATAACAACCAAATATATATCAAAGTTTTTCTCACTGGATCTTTTCTGTCATTGTGAAGTGGTAGCACACACAGAACCGGAGCTCTGATCCCAACTGAAGGTGAGAAAATACTTAGAAGGGGGGGTTGAATAAGTATCTTTAAAAACTTATAGCAATAAAAACACAATGATTTTTATCCTGGTTCGTTAAACTTAACTACTCCAGTCCACCCTATCAAGAGTGATTTGCCTTTCTCAAACAAGGACTTAATCCACTATTAATCAACTGATTACAATAGCAATCACTAAGAGCAACCGTTCTTAGTCTTCTCAAGAACTACTGATCCCAACTGGATCTTCTCAAGGAACTATTACAATGAAATGTAAGATAAATACAAGTGTTTGAATGTTTCTAACAAGCTTTATCACAAGAGTGATTTTTCACTTAATATTAAGAACAAAAGAATAAACTCGGCAAAGAGAATAAGAATATTTTATGAGAGCTTGTAAGAGTTTCTATCAAAGATTCGTCTTATGAAGAAGATGAGGAAGACTTGCTTTTATATGCACAGTAGTCCACAAAGTCTTGACGTTGGAGGTTGTGTACTGAATAGGCCTGAACCTTTTTGTCTTCACATAACATGACCTTTCTTGGAAGTAGAATGCACAGAGAAATGCTTTTGGTCTATGTTCTAGTGTCAAGCATGAAAGAGGAAAGAGTCGTTGAGCCAAATCAGCGGATATGACTTTGAATTCTTCTTCAACAAGTATTTCACTTCAGCAAAGTAAACATCAGAGTCTGCGTGATCAGAGTCTTGGATGCCCATCAGATTTTGCTGAATCAGAGTAATGCAGCAAGTGTACTTCAGCATGTAGTTCTATCATAGTAGAGTTTTATGAATCAGATCCTCAGTACATGCAGCGTGTAGTACTCTCAGAGTCTTCTAAAAAACTGTGCTTCTTAACTCTCATACAAAGATCTTCAATGCTTTAGAGTCTTCTGCTTCAGATCCTTCTGCAGCTTTGCTTCAGATTCTTCTGTAGCTTCTGTTTCAGATTCTTCTGCAGACAGTATTCAGATTCTTCTATAAGATGATTCTGACTCTTCAGAGTCTTCCATAGTTCCATGTTCAGATTAATTTGCTCTTAGATATATATATACTTTAACATCTGCAGCAAACATTCATGAACAAATTTTAGAGTATATAATTCTTTAATACAAAATTTCCTAAGAGTTATCATCAAAACATAGAGATATTACTAAGAAACAATCTGTGTTGTTACAGTTTCATCAAACTTCATTCAATGGTCATCAAAAAAGGAGAACAAGTTTCATCAAACTTCATTCAAAGCTTAGAAGTTACATCAAAGGGGCAAATACTAGTTCCAATTACAAAGCATTACAAGATTCACAAGTTCAAGTTCAAAGTTCACAAATATTACAAAAATTTCATGTCATTACATAAATCCTACAAAATTCTCAAGTCACAATTACAAGGTCTTCACATGTTACAAAGTTCCTAATTCTAAATTCACAAAGCCTAAGTTCTAAACTCCATGCTAGCTCCATTTTCCATGCCACTTCCATGTTTCAATCTCCATGCTCTCATTCCTACAAGATTCAAAAACCGAAATTCAGCCCCTAAACCAATCAAAATAGGACCAAACACATACACATTAACCATTGCCAATTTTCAAGTCACCATTACAAAAGAACATTTGAGGCTACATATTCATTCAATTTCAATTACCATTACAATATGGTACAAGTTCAACCATGCTAAACCAATTAACCATGCCTTTGCTAACATTGACCAGTGCCACCTGCATCTATACACAAGACCAAATAGATCATAAATCCATAACCACAAGGTCAGATGCAGCACACATGCAAAATAGTTCATCATTTTATTCAGAAAAATTATCACAATCCTACTACTATTGCTGCAGATGCACTCATCATCTTGCTCATATCAAAGACATCCATAGCATGCCGTGACTGTATTGACCTAATGTATTGCACACAACCTGCAAACCAATACAGAATTCTGATTCAAAAAACCATCCATCCTGTAATATCATAACCAAACAATCCTCAAGCATGAAAGATCATTTACTCATATGTTCAGTTTTATAAAGCAAGCAGAATGTTAAACCTATACATCATATGGACTAGCATTCTAGCATTTCTAATTCACAAATGGCGTCAATGGGCATAACATCTAACATCGGAATTAGATTTTTTTAACAAGTTAACAATATCATAATAGATTCATAACAGAATAACAGGAATCTAACTTCAATCTAACTTTAACTAACTCTTTTTAACTTCTACTCAGTTCAATATAGTTTTTAACAGCAGTAGTTTTCCTACTTTCACATGATCAATAGCAATTCATTTACGTAATATTGAACACCAACTGATTCCACAACAGGCTAACTCACTAACTTAATTCAACTAATAGCTCACTTCATTTTCTCCACCAATTGAACCAACAGAACTTCTAACTTCTAAGAAACAATCCTAACAGGTTCTCAATTCATTAACTAACCCAAATCTCCACCCTTGATTGAGTAACTAACTTCTAAATCCTAAGGCTCATATCATTCCATCCCTAACCGTTTCTCATCCTACTTCAACCTCTATATAATTCATCTTCCACCTTCATTCAAACTCTCCATGATCATTTCATCATTTTCAGAACCATTCACTTTCCCTCTGCTCCCACCTCATCTTCAACCTCGCTACCTCATACACCTCGGCATTATCTTCAACATATCCTCACTGCTATGCCTCATCCCTCAGCTTAAATTACCACAAAAACAACGCACGCATACAAGATCAAGAAGAATAAGGGAAGAATTCGGAGAAGAAGGAAGAAGTAAAAACGATAAGAGATCCTCTGGTTTTCTGTTCCTTTTTTCCACCGTTGAAGACGCATCGGACGGACTCCGATAGGTAAGTCGTTCTCCCTCATTACTTCATTTTTTTCTCCCTCTTCTTGTTACCAGTGCGTAAAGAGAAGCATGTAGAGAGAAAGCCCTAACGATTCATGGCCTGAAACCTCACCAGCGCCACTTAATTTAATTTTGAAGACTTAGTAATTAGAAGGATTCATGTTAAGATTGGACGAAGAGAGCTTGGGATTTGGATTTAGGAAGATGAGACGAAGAGGATTGTGTATTGTTTGGCCATTTCTGAGTACAAACCACCGGGAGCGCCACCGACGCGGTGGCGAAGAGTTTTGACTTGAATGTTTGGAACAGTGAGAACCAGATTTGAAAGAAATATGAGGGCGAGTTTTTTTTACTGAGTGTCTTCCCTCATGTCTTGGCTTGACCGGGCTTTTGAGCCCAAACAAAATGCCTATTCACACCCTTTCTTTGCTCCAACACCCCTCTGAAAATGTGAAGTAAGGCTGATTGGCCTAGAACCAAGCCTTAGGCCATTACTTCTTCATACACTCCTAATAACACTGCACCACCTTTGGCTTACTAATTAATTTCTCATGGCTTTTTTGGATAATTTTTCATGACTTTTTTTGGGTTAGTTTTGATTAGGGCTTTGTTAATTTTGATTAGCCTCTTGATTTTAGTGCTTAATTAGATCTTGATTAATCCTTGATGTAAGTTGTGTTTAGTTCTTGATGTCAAAATTGTAATTAATCCTTGATATTAATCTTGACTAATTCTTAATATTAATCTTGTTTAGTCTTTGAGATATACTTGTTTGACGTTAACTTGGATTAGATTCTTGGTTTAATTTGGATTAGTCTTGTTGCTAAAATTCAATAATTGTTGTAAGAATTTTTTATTAATGGTTGTTAGAATTTTTTGATTATTTGTTGACTAGAAGCTTTGATTAATTTTAGATTAATCCTTTTGCTAAGTTTTGATTAACCTTTTGCTAAACTTTGTTGATATTGGTTGAATCTTTTAATTGAATATTAATTGAACCTTTTAGTTGAACTTTTGATTGACTTTTCTACTTGATGTGCTTGATTGTTGTTGTTTGCTTGTGCTTCACATGTTTTCATAGGATCCTTTTGATTCAATTTAATCATTGATTGAATTTAATTAAAGATAGACTTTAAGATTTTAATTCAAGCATGATAACATTAGGTTAAAAGTTTCCCTTCAATCTCAACCGTAGGGCCACTTTGCATGACAACAAGTATGATCAAATTTCCCCTTAGACTTTGCTTATTTTGCATCTCTTTTCTTTTAAAAGACAAAACCTATTTTTTATTAATCAAATTTAAAAATACTTAATGGTACATATCACAAGCAATTTCGAAACTAAAGAAGAATGCACCTAAATACCCCCAGCCTTAAGGGACCATTTGGTGTATCTCCTAACAAAAACACTTCAACAAATTTAAACCTTTTTGCCTTTGGGCTTTTCTCTTAAAACTTTTTCAGAAAGGGCATGCTATTTTCGCTCTACCGCAAATAGAAAACGCCTAACTTCTAGAATGCGAACTTAGCATGGTCTATAAAAAAACCCAACAAATCAACTTTTTTAACAAGAACTACGGAGTTCTGATTCCGTTTGAAATACATAGGCACTAAGTTGCAAAACTCTGACGAACTCAATAATAAAAACCTTTTGTTTTCCCTTAGATAATTCATTCATCATTCCCTTAGCAAGTGAGTCTTTAGATATACACACCCTTTGATAAGAACAACAAGAATGGACCCCGTTGAATACAACAGACGTGAGGAGTGTTAATACCTTCCCCTTAAGTAATAGACTCTCGAACCTGAATTTAGTTGCGAGACCATGTTGATTCCCTTCTGAGGCACTACTACAAAGCGCACAAACAACAACGGCAGGTTTACAACGGATTCATATACACCGTTGTAATAGGTTAAAAAATTTGCACCTAGTGAGTAGATGGATTTATAAACAGTAATTTAATGACGATTGTCTTAAAACACCGTAGTAATAAATGATGTGTAGCAAGCTTCGATTCCCTGCAACTACATTTTTTCCATTTTTTAGAGTACATTAAGTGTGTGTCACTTAAGTCTATTATTTAAAAAATAAATTGTAAATGATTTTACAACAGTGAAGTAAACCAACCGTTGTTAGAGGATATTAAACGTGTGTCACTTAAGCGTGTGTCACTTAAGCGTGTGACACTTAAGTCCATTATTTAAAAAATAAATTGTAAATGATTTTACAACGGTGAAGTAAACCAACCATTGTTAGAGGACTTACAATTCAACTGCCATTGGGTTATCCAATCGCGATTAAAGGGTTTACTGATAAATTAAAACAAAACTTATTTTGTATTTCTTCCATAAGACGCCCTAGGCGAACAAGCGAGTCAGAGACGACAATGGTGGCGTAATCTTTACCCTCTTTGTATCCATTCATATGGAGCTCAAATATTCACCCTTTTCGTTCATTTGATTCTTCAGCTTTGAAGTATGATACTCTTCAACGTCTTCATTCCTTATGTGTATAAGATTCTTCAGCTTCGAAGTACAGTATTCTTCAACATCTTCATTCCTTTTTTTCTTTGTTTATGTTGTATATGCTAAAGTCAATATGAGAGTACATGTTTCATATGCTTTAGATTTAGATTTGCATATGCATATGCTTAAGTTTTTGGATTAGATTTTGGTGTGTCATTCACATTATTATACGTGTATAAATTTCAAAAGTTGTTATGGATCATAGTTGGATGAAAGCCAATAGATTAGGTCCGATTTATGAGAACAAAGTTCTTGAATTCCTTGAATACACTGATAAAAATCTTTCCGACAATAATGGTATCTTTTATTGTCCTTGTGTTGTTTGCGCGAATATCAAAAAGGGTACAAAGAAAGAAATATTCCATCACCTTCTTTGTGATGGTATATGTCAGAATTATATAATATGGACGTGGTATGGTGAGGTGGATAAAGAGGAAAGTCGGGAGTCACAAAATCAAAGAGTGGATAAAGATGAATATATGGAAGATCAACTAGAGGATATGTTCCGTGATATTGGGGAATCTTCTTTCAAGAATGCTCATATTTATGATACTTTATGTAGTGATAAAGACGCCCCTTTATATAAGGGATGCACATATTTTACACGATTGTCGATAGTGTTAAAGTTGTTTAATTTGAAGGCAAAAAATGGATAGTCGGATAAAAGTTTCATAGAATTACTTGAATTGCTAAAGCAAATGTTACTAGAAAATAACAAATTGTCGGATCGTTGCTATGAGGCTAAGAAGATATTGTGTCCAATGAGTCTGGAGTATATCAAAATACATGCTTTCCCTAATGATTGCATATTATACTGGAAAAAGTATAAATACTTGTATCAATGTTTGAAATATGGTGTGTCACGTTACAAGCTAAAGCCCAACAATGGTGATGACAATGACTATGACAATGTTAGTAGGAAGCATCCTCTTGCTAAAGTGTTATGGTACTTGCCAATAGTTTCATAATTTTAGATACTTTTTGCTAATTTGAATAATGCAAAGAATCTTAGATGGCATGTAGATAAAAGGACTTGTGATGGAAACATTCGCCACATAGCTGATTCATTGCAATTGAAGAAAATCGATTCGTTGTTTCGGGATTTTAGAGTTGAGCCAAGAAACCTTAGGCTTGGGCTTTCCACTGATGGAATGAACCCCTTTGGTAATCTGAGCACTAATCATACTTCATGGCCTGTTCTTCTCACTATTTACAACCTATCTCTTTGGTTGTGCATGAAGCGCAAGTATATACTGTTAAGTATGATGATTTCTGGACCACGACAACCTGTTAATGACATAGATGTTTATCTATGTCCATTAATTGATGATTTACGACTCTTGTGGGATGAAGGCGTTGAAGTTGATGATGCATATTCTAGAGAAAAGTTTAAAATGCGTGCAATGTTGTTTTGCACAATCAACGACTTTCCTACTTACGGTAACTTGGATGGATATAGTGTCAAAGGACATAGTGCGTGTCCTATATGTGAAAATGATACTT